TTGGGATCAGTCCGCGACTCACGAGCAATAATGATAATGGTTAGTCGATAATTAGTCAAAAATAAATCATTTCCCTTAACTAATCTATGAAAGTGTCTAAAAATAACAATAACAATGCTCTCATTGATTGACTGTTTTAATTTTAAGCTTTGTTTTATTCATATTGTTTTTCTCCCAAATTTAACTTACTTATTTCCGTTTAAAATAGCTGCAAGTACCTACCTACATTAAAAAAACTAAAATCCTTGTTTAATTGTTTCATTGTAATGGACGCAAAAATATTATGACGTCACATCTTGTACAAAATTCATAAAAAGAAACCTTTTTGACAAACCGATAAAAGTAAACTGTCAACATTCACATTTTGAAAACCATAGACTATGCCATACGCCTTCTCTTAAAAAATAATAGTATGAAAACAAGCCTACGCCTTTTAAGAATGAAAGACGTGTGAGCGTTGTTATTTTAAAATAAGAACCGATAGTATTATGTAGGTATACCTAGTAGGTACCTACATAAAATGTTGTTCAAAATATAAATAGATATCGTGGGCGACACTGTATTGTGTTAGTTATGCACTTGTCTATGTATCTTTTCATAGTTTGCAGACATAACATACCACTACACTTATGTACTTAAATACAGTCTACTTCGCGCGACTTCGTATGATCCCAATTATTTTTTTTTTATTTATGGAATCTTTCTTTTTAAGTTATGTTCTATTTTTACGGCCTGCATTCTTCCTTCGAGGCAGCTTGGAATCACGTGTCTCTTACTCAATTAAGGATGACATTTTCGCAACAATACCCTTTAAGTCCAGACGGCAATATTACAACAGATCTCTACAAAAGATACAAAAATATGTAATTATGAAATTTCCTATTGATGACTATGCAGAGCATCTAGTGTACTATCTTACCAGAACATGTGAAACAAACTACCTGTGTTTTTTTATACGTTACCCTTTACGATACAAACAGAATTAAACCAGATTTCTTTGACATGTTTTCGCGACCTCATATCATATAACGTGTTTCAACTAAACAGAACATATGTAATCCGCATAATAAAATTCACCAGTGTTTTCCTACTAATGAAAATGTATGTAGGCATACGTTGTCTTTTCTTATTCGTCGAACACCGCACATCGGCTGAAAAAAAAAACCAAAAAGATACAAAAGTATTTTCTTGAAAAACCAGAGACATGTTACACTTATAAACAGACGGAAGCCTGATATTCCTGCAGCGTACCTACGTTGTATAGCTGTACGTAAGTATTGTCAGTGCGATCAGTCGCCGGTATATTTGCTGGCGTGACGTCACCGCGGCCGCAATCAGCTTTTCTTCGAACCTGAAGGGTTCAAGTTACTGCTAGCAGTAACGAAGTGATTAACTCCGTTACTGCCCACACAGATCCATTTGCTTTTTTCTATTACTTGTCGTAGTTCTTACAGCGGTGTCTGGTTTTTGTATTAGCCACAGAACACGAAAGCTTTTGTTATGTCACTTTTATGTTGTTGGGACTTTCCACGCCGTTTCTTCAGACTCGTCTAGCAGTAACATTACTTTGATTTAGGAATATTTGGTACTGTGAAGAACTACTTAGTACAGAACAGACACACAGCTCAGCAAGGACTGTCTGACAACATGGCTTAAACTTATACTGATTCAGGTTAATCGCTTTAAGAATTAAGAAGGTCTTGATGTAGCACCTTTCAACTTTAAAGTCCACGTTTTCATTAAAGTAGCGTCTAGCAGTATACCTTTATTCTAGGCACAAATTGAGACATTGTTAGACATGAGATTGTTTAACAGGTCTGTATAAATCAGGTTCAATCTCGGCTGAGCTCGTTCGAACGACACGTTTGGAGACCTTCGTACGAGTGGCTCGTAAATCGTGGACTGGAAAACAATCCGTGGCTCGGCCAAGTATCCGGTGGTGGGTTTGAAATTCCAATTAAGGGAAGCTCTAGACGAGTTCGTAGGTCGGCTGCACGCGGCCGATCACTCACTTGCACTTTTAATTAATTTATTTATCGAGTTCGCGAATCGACGGCGCAACTCGCGCCGACGCCCCGCCCCGCCGCCTGCTATATAACCCAACGAGGACCGGCGACGTCCGTCAGTTTTCTCAGGGACGCCATGGGCGCCGGTCGCCCTCACCCGGGAAAATGTGCCGGAAGGACGAGGGATACTTTAAATTTTTAAAGTGGGTAGTCGAAATGTAAGGAGGGTGGCGCGGCGGGGTTGCGAGTAGGGCTCGGTCGGTTCGGGCGGGTGATGGTCGGCGGTGGTGACCTTGAGGTGAGTGAGTGCACGCGCGAGGGCGAGCCGAGTCGATAGGCTCAGCGCGCCGCGCCGCCCGCCCACGCGCCTGCACTACAGCTGTTTCACTTGATAACGTGGCGATTCGTCACTTTTCCTTTACTTTTGATCTAGCTTCCTCCGGTCCACAGCGTTACAATCACCGAGATGACGACAAAAAGTTGGCCGCAGTTCCAGGTTCCAGGAAATACTTAAGAATATTAACGAACTTTTCAATTAGACTGCTTACAAACTTATTTAGTTAAATTTTTGTAATCGGTATGATTTGTATAAGAATATTTGAAAGTTTTGGTTGTTTATAAGTTATGCTGCAAAACTTTAGTCGGTTATGATCGATATAAGAGTTTATAAATAACTTGAATTGATTGAGACGCTTCCGTCGGTAACAGCTGGCATGAACAGGTACTTCATGCTTTAGTTATTAGCAGGACCTTTGATCGTTGTAGTTCACTGTCTTGTTGCGATTTTTGTTTATTTATGGTATAACTTAAGCTACAAAATGCAAACCGTTGCAAAGACGGGAAATTTCACGAAGTTACTTCACCGCTATGAACGGCAAAATTCATAATCCATAGCGAGCCCATGGGGTTTGAATCAATTGAGTTAGGTTCGAAAATCGAGTCGTTCGTAAATCGAGCAGGATGTAGTATAAGCAGACACCGTAGTTGGTCGGTGGCCAAGTACAGACGCGCAGTAATTACTGTCTCAGGAGCGAGCTCTTAATTTGCTTAATTTACCCGAACCCGCTCTTCGGAGCTAAATCGCACGATTTAATGGGATATTTGAATGATGCGCATTGTTTTAAAACCTCTCGCGTCTGTTCCGAACGATCTTATTTCCGCTAAAACACTTATTCGTTAAACTGAGCCATTAATGAATTAGCAATTAGCTTATCGTCCTGTTTCGGGAAAGTTTTCAACTCATTTAAGGGGTCGGTCTTCAGGTAGAATATGATATTATGCGATACAGAAAGAGTTATTCGGGATTGCATTACGATAACGCTATAAAAGAAATTTACATAAGCATAAAATATGAGAGGAACCTGAAAGGAAACTCCAAAAGCGTAGCGCTTCAACTACAAATTGCAAGAACGATACTTGGCATTTGATATTTTAACGTACATTTTTGGAGTAGGAACTCGAAAAAAAAACTAGAAAGAGGCAGTACACACCGGGCTCAAGATTGCTTTCGTGTGGTTGGCAATAAAAGACCAGCAAGTGTGTACTCAACCGCGGGGCTCTGTATTTAGAGCATGAATTTTAGATACGTGTAACCAAGGACAATATAGGTGTACATAAAAGTTTTGTATATCATGTGCCGAGTGGGCTCATACTCTGCTATTATTCATAATCCGACTGTACCACGTTTTATACCTTGAGTCCAAAAATATAGAGACTCATGGAAAAATTCGCAGCTATTTTGGCAACTTAGTATTTTATTGCTACGGGGATTATAAAGTTTGTAAGCACTAACGTGGACAGAGCATTATGTTTGAGGCGTACCTTTGCATACTTTGAATGAATACCTCCCGTGCGATAGTTAGTAGAGGTTTCTCTACAGTTGCAGTATTCTTCTTACAGAATATTAATCTTATATACAGTTATCGCGAAAATGAAAAGAAATATTCTGTTAAAATTCCGGAGCCAAAAATATTATTTAGGAAACGTTATAAACGTTGAGATGCTTAGGGACAGTAAGCTACATACATACGTGATGTTGCCAGCACATTTTAAAATGTGCGGAGAGCTCAACTTTTCCGCTGAGAACGGAGAAGGCCGCATTTGAATTATAGAGGAAACGTTAGGAAGCCGTCAGTACCCTTGCAACGTCTTACATTCGTTACGAATATTATGATTTATGCGGCACCCGGCCCGGACCGCGCGGTAAACAAGGATCATTTGACACCATTTACCGACAATGTTTTTTGTACAATAAGTAATTTCGGCTTACCGCCGCCGCCGCGTTTCAGACGCGCGCAAATAATTTAATAGCCCTGCTCCTGCGTATTGTCATTGTAATAAAACTGCGATAAGGAAAGAAAGCAGTCACCGTAATTAAAGGTGGAGGTTCCGTTTCACTTTTAATGTTCCATTTAATTGCCGCTTTGATACTGAATTTTGTTGGCGTTCGTGAATTATCTTAAACAGATGTGCTTTCTGAATGAACGTAAAGTTTTTCACAAATTAAATTCTATCTTATTTGTACCAAATTAGGTGTGAATTTAGAATAAATGGGAGCTACTAGTTTATTCAGTATGGTTGTCAATTAGCTCTGCCAACCAGCGGCTAGCGATTTAATAACAACTATCAAATAAATCTGGACAAAACACTGGCGGTTATCCCTAAATAAGTAATGGAACCATTTTCCTTTCAATTATGAAAATTCTGTGTACTTAATAATTCATAAGAATAATATTGATTTTGTTGGAAACTGTCTGTTAACATTAAACAGGTGTATTCGAAGCTATGCGATGCAGGTGTTGGAACTTAGATCTACCGTCATAATAAGAATTCGTAAAGAAAACTTATTAAATTATAATTCCACGTAGTAGATACCGTATAAATATCTTATACAGAACTTTGAAAAGCGATTACACTGAAGACGTTGAAATGATAGACTTGGAAATAAAAGTTGAATTGTTTTATTTAATTTATCCGTACTATATTATGTAACAGTAATAAGTACAAGCGTCATATTGCGGACTATGAGTCCCGCAGTATTTTTGGACAAACCTATGAAGGTTCGTACATAATTGATTCAACTTTATTTTTCGTACCAGTAGCAAAGGTAGGCAAATGCAAATGCGAAGGAATACTTTCAACGATTCCGAAGAAAATGTTGCTGGTACCGGCTCAATCAAAAATGTTTACCTACAGACTGAGCTAGCTCAATATTTTAGCCCCTACCATTAGACATTCACGACACACCGAGTGAGTGCACCTCACTTTATCGCAATCGAGTTCAACATTAACGCAAACGTGACGCTTTAGGAATAAGTGGTAAGGTAATAGAATTCATGTGTCTCGCGACCTTTTCCTAACGAGCTAAATTAGTGTTCAATGAAAGACGTGGGTTCCGTACACGGACATTTGTTCCGTTTGACAGTCGTTACCTGTCCCCCAAAGTAATCTCTAGAGAAAACATACTCTTTATGTAACAGAGTCGATCCTAAACGTCTCTTTAGTCTTAAGCGATTCAGCTACGGATTTGGAATCAGGCACCGTTTGATACATACACATACGCGTGCCTGTATACGTACAAAATACAGGTATTTTCTGTAGTACGACAAATAAACTCCAATAACGGAGTCCGCCTGTAAATCCAATGTTTTCGGAGCAAAAAAAATACAAGTATTTGAAGAGAGTATTTCGCAGTCTCTAGTCAGGTAGGAGCTGTCGGTTCACAAAAAGACGAGCACGCTACATATACAGCGATACGAGAGAATTTTTTGTTGACCGCACGGGAATTGAAACTAGTCAAACTTTTATCACGAACATTCGGACGTAGGACTTTCAGAATAATATTATGAAGCAACTAAAACCCCGTTAGTTAAACTTAATCGAAACTAAAAAAAGGAAGTTGAAAATGAAATGTTTCGAGGAATACTCCCTTAATAAAACGAATCATTAGAATTCCCAGTCTCTTCCTAAATGGCCATTATATCAAAACAAATGTTGTTATAAAAGCAGAATGTTAATTAAGATAGGTCGTTTATCAATAAATCCAGACGACTGATTCCTTGTTAATTGCCAGGTTGCAATGAAGTGCGGAATCAGATGCAAGCGAACGCGACTGGGTGCAAAATGCAAATTCACCGGCCGCACCGCGCCGCGCCGCGCCGCCCTAACAACACAGAACAGGCGGACGTAAAAATGTTTACGTAGAACGCTTGACCGCTTTTAATTGTTCTATTTAAATACAGAGAGCTGGCATAAAGGCTAAAATGCTCCGTTCGCAGATCAAATTACATTCATTTTCATCCGCTTCGTGATAATTAAAAACACATTTATATCGGAGCTTTACATGCAATTTGTTTCATGAAACATCATCGTCTTTTATCGCGTCGCGTTCAAAGGTCACAGCAGACTATATTCATTTAGGCTTTACTGGTTCGCTTAAGCCCAAATAAACGTATTGTTTAAATAGGCTCTTGTTACATTTACATGCTTTGAAAGACAACTTATTTGGCACAATTCACATTTTCTAACGTTTCGGTCTCGTTTAGGAAGTGTTGAAAAAAAATAGTATATCTATTGTATTGGACATTTAGCACTTGTACATATACATATGTTACACAGCACACAAGATATGCTGCCCCGTGATTGAGGCTACGCAGATACTCAGAGTATTTCTACCGCATTCCACATTCACGTGCACACTGTACTACAAACACGTAGCATAATTAAGCGCTATTTTGGTAGTAGAGGTTTGTAAACGTACGGCACCAACAGCTGACATCGGATTGGGCTCGTAGACGAGATCTGTATTCGTAGAGCGCGGAGCTCGTAGCCGGCGGCTACGTCGCGCGTCGTGCCGGGCGCACGGGGTGTGAATGCAATCCGGATTTAGTTCAATCAATGCATCCACTCGTCATGTTTACGTAAAATTGAGCAAAATCAATTTTCGTCAGCTCACTTAAAATTCGAACACATTCGTCGATATCCGGCGGCACATGGTACATTTCCTGCTGTCTAGTCAGCAGTTGACTGCACCGCGGCGCGCCCCTACGCCGGCGGCCGTTCGGCCATGTTACGGGAGCATTTTGTGTGCCATTTTTATTTCATCATAATTCCGTTTTCAATTTCTAGCGGGAACGTCGGTGGCGAGATTGGTGCGTAAAACTCGCGTAAACATTCGAGCGGTTGTGGAACGGTTACTCCCGACTGTAACCGGTTTATGCCAGTGTAGAATGTAAAGAGATAAGGTTCTTTATGTGTGTAATCATTTTGTGTTACGACGGACTTTGTCATCCGTGAGTGTTATTAAGGCGCGCCTGGCCTTCCGCCGCTCAGCTTTATGTTCTACGATTAAAAGATTTGAAAAAAGTCACCGAAATTACCAACAAATTACGCTACCTTCTCTGCGAGAAAAGAAACCATTAAGATTACGGTACCTTATTGTAAACCCAACTGATCTCCATCTCTATTTAATACCGAATTTTAAATCTGTACCTTCATAAAATGGTCAATCCATCGTTAAAAGCTCTTATTCCCTCGGAAAGCTGAAATGACGGGCTTCAGTCTCGGTATCCGACCGATAATCCCTTCAGAAATAATATTGACCCATCAAAACGTACATAATGGGGAGCAATTTTATTTTAAAGTAACGACCCGCGGTATGGCACATCGCTTTCTTCTCACTTCGGGCTCAATTTTATCAACGTCGGTATTTACTTTTTACAACCAGCGCTTATTTTTTCTATTTTCATCACAGTTGTGCCGAGCAACAGCCATGAATTGGCGCAGTGTGATTACAAATTTAAGCCGGCGCAGCTAATATGAATGACAACGGGTCGCCCTACTCGACATTCATTTCCCTCGGCGCACCTCTCTTATAATAACTTACACGGGAACTTCGCCTTAAGGTATCGATGTGTGCCGACACACATACGAGGCGTCAGCGAAACAGCTCACCACACCCCGACTGGAGTCCTGAATACGATCTAATACATGATGTCATGTCATCTCTCATCGCATTGCGTATACAGAAAAGAGATCAAATAAAAGATCCTCGCCGTTTCAATCACGTCAGCGTGTTATTTCAAACACCCCCTAACGCTGGCCTTATGATAAGGTAGTTTAATCTCATACAGCCGTTTTATTTTAGACATTGAATGGAGCAAAATTACAGACAGTCTACAATTTTCGGCGCCTCAATTGCCGATCTGCAAACAAATTTATACATATCTGATGAAGGTGCAGACTTTGGCGCCCTATAATCCGGATTCGACCCTTGAATGCGAGCGAACGAGCGGGTGGTCGAGGTTTTAGAGTGGCCCTTCAATCAGCCCTTGCTTGCGGGCGTGCGCGGGGCGCGGCAGCGGCACCGCGTGGCCGGGGGAGGGGCAGGCACGAGGACCTTTGAGCTACAGGCTCTTTGACACGAGCCACTGGCGCACTCTTCAAGTAATGATTCATTCTGCTGATGACTGACGCGGCTAATGCGCCAGCTTCCCCTCCGCGATGTTTGGTTAAGGATTAAAGATTCGCTTGCTGTAAATTAGATTTTACCGCGTCGTCTCTTTTTTAAATTACTTTGTTCGCTTTAAATTAACATCGTACTTAAAGCAAGCATTAAATCGTGTTTAAAGGCAAACATTAAAACATTTTATCGAATGAGGTTCGTTTCCGCTATCTGCTAAGTGTCGGCTTTGAATCAACATTATAATTAAGATCGCTTACCAGTAATCCCGGCTCCACAAACAGTGTACCGTACTTCCTGCTAACGCCACGACTTACAGGATAATCCTCTATGGGAATACATCACATGATGCTTTAATTCCGGAACACCAATTGCATCGAGTAAATGTAACTGTATATTTTAGGCCAACCTTTTGCCAGATTGCGTTGCAAGTCAAAAAATACATTAGCATTTCTATGAAAATAAGTTATACTGGCGTAACACGTTGAATAAAATGTACGCTGAATGAATCGTAGCGATGTACGCACCGCTGCGCCGCGACAAAGTGTTCATTGTTGGCAGAATTCACCAATTCTGAGAGACAAAAGCGATCCTCGAGCGACAGGATTGCGCGCATAGTTTAAATCCCTAATCGATATTCAGATATAATTTAATCCGTCGCTCAAAAGCTCATTGCTATCGATAATCAAGGGAAAAACAGGGAATGAAGCACAGGGTGCCGGCCCTGAGCTAAAATTATCTCTATAATATGTATCTTCGCGAACATTACGTCACTCCTATCCAGTAAACAATTTATAAGAATATTGTTTATTTATAACTACGTGTACAGACAAAATTCTCATCCACTTAATTCACATATTTTTCTTCGGCCCCACTTTTTGACAAACTCCTCAGTAATAATTGTTTTAATCTACAAAAATTCCAATTAAAAGTTTTTATCTCTCGCAAAGCTTAGGCTCGGTTTGCAGCCAGCGGCCGAGTTGACTCGGATTACAATTTGTTTTTATTTTATTTTACATTTTATTTACTGACCTCTGACGCTGTGTTGTCGATCTTTTATGTCGTTGTAAATGAACATTTTCGTAACACGGTTACTTTGGACTGTTCGGGTAAGTGAATAGAGCTTCATATTTTCAATATTTCCTGGTTCCATGAACTGTGAGGGCGCACGTCAATAGAATATAATGTATTCGGTTGATATGAGCTGGGAAGGCGGGTCGTTATCATGTCAAAGAAACTATCGCATTACCGGACTCAAAAGACTGCGGTTTGTTTGATGTCGGCCATGCACGATAGATCCCACTCAATAAACAGTAATTCTATCATGTTTATCTATAAAACAAAATTTAATAATTTGAAGATTAATATTCTAATGATTTAATGTTAAACTTCTGGCATAAGTACTCGAGGAAAGATAACATTTCACAAAGTTTCCTCGAATAATTCGCTCGCAGTACTTTGGATGCCACATTGATTCTCTGATAATTTCCCGCTTTAATTAATAATTAACACAAATTCAAAAAGTTCCCGTATAGTTTAGAAATACAATACTGTTTATATATATACGTGACACACAAAGTAATACATTGAGCGAGATATGAGACAGGTTTACACGTAATGTTGCCCACAAAACAGGAGTAACGTTACATTCGCCGAGGTCCTACTTTATTCCGCACACACGACTCTGTTGCATCGCCACCGCATATCAAAGCATAAAATGACATTCTCCTTAATACATCTCGAATGACGTTGGAGTTTATGTAAATTGTAATACACGCCCGGAATATTTCGGTTCGTGTGAAACTCCGCGGTAATGCAAAAGGCAACTTTTTACGCATTCACAGCGTGTACCTATTAACGGCCAGTCTCCTTTAGAGATATTCCGAGAAGGAAAATAATATCAACTGTGAAGCGAGTCGATGAACAGATTTCCGAACGGAGAGAGTTTTCACTTGTTGTTATTCTGTTACCGAGTGGCTTACGGAATGCTTATTCAGTCTCGAACTTCTGTAATAACTTGACGGAAAAATCATTTCTATTTTAATGTAGCTACTAAAATAATTCGGTAATAATATTTAAACGTATCCATTTTGTAACTTAATAAGATAAAATCTGTGTTGTCCAGCTACCCTGTGTTTCATTAGGAACATTCGGCTTCCCGTACAAAGTATCAAGTTTCGCGTGTCAATGAACAGTGTATTTCATATTCGTAGCTATATAAATGTAATTAAAACATCAGCGTTACAAATTCACCAGTAAATATAAAGCTCTTAATTAAAACAGCGGTCAAAGTATTAATTTCACCATTAATTTTGAGTAATTGCGCACCGTTATAATTTAGACAGATATTACGCGGCTTAAATTGTATTTATGTTGTTTTTTATACTTTTCTAACCACATGTATCTTCGTCTGTTCTTAATTAGTATAAACGCGAGTAATATTATGATATATAGATATGAAAATGAATAGGTCTACCCTATTTTGCAATTTATAATTATTATTTTGATATATTTACGCGGTGTCTGTTTCTCTGTGGAAATCCGGCTTAATTATAAATTACTACTAATTCTTTGTTGCTTGTGTATTATTCTTATTATATCAATATTAACAGAACTTTATTTATTTGTTTCCAGGTACGTACTTTATTTGGCTGTTTACCGTAAAGCCGTCACCTCACTGGTAAGGAAACTCACTTATGCCCGGTTCCTATAATTGAGAAACGATCCGT